AGAGAGAGGGGAGGGGGGGAGAGAAAGGGAGGGATGGGGAAGGAGGAGAGAAATGGTTGATTTCTTTTTAATTTTCATCCATGTGAAGAGTTCTAGATGTTATATGAAGCGGTTTTAACTAATAAACCTCTGTGGACAAGACCCCGGACAGGATGACCTCTTTGACGTCACAATGACCCCTAACCTTACTCGAGAGCCATGGGCATGGTGCCATGCTGTCCAGTTGAAATCGCAACGCCTATAAATTGTCCAGTCAGTGTTTAAGTTTTGTTTATTAGATCTATGCCTGTCAGATTTGACGTCAAATGCATAACACAGTGGCTACAAAAAAGGCCATCTGTCAGCGAACGTCTTAAAAAAAAACGTTCTTGTTAAAACTCCTTCTTCAGGGCAAAGCTGACAAAACGCCTTTTTTTCTGCCACCAACTGTAAAAAAAAGGCGTTTTGTCAGCGAACATCTAAAAAAAGGCGTTCTTGTTAAAACGCCTTGTGTAAGGCAAAGCTGACAAAACGCCTTTTTTCGTGATTATTTGTTTATTTCTTAAAGAAAATAAACAAAATTTATGTTGTACATAGGGGATGACATTCTGATTAGGGTGCGAGTTCAAACATTGATGTACTGTGCAAAGTAGTTGAGATATTGTAAGAAAACCGAAAATCGTTGATTTCTCGAAACTGCTCTGGACAAAAAAAAAGGCGTTTTGTCAGCTGACAGCAGAATAGGCCTTTCCTGTTATGGCAAGATGCAGTAGTTGTAATTTTTTATCTTTTCAGATATAGCATGTAAAAAAAACAAATAATTAATTATAAAAGCTAAAGGTGATTAAAGTTTTACAGTGATCAATGAATATTCAGACGCGTTGTTAAGTTGCAATTGTACTTTATCTATCCTACTATCTCCATTTGCTCAATCTTGATTACTTGAGCTCAGATATAGATATTGTACCTGCTGTGTGCAACTGATGAGAGTCAAGATATATGAAGTCATATAATCTTAACCAACTTACACACATGTGCACTCATTCATTTGTCTTTGTACTCAAATACATTCACTTGGATGGTGTGAAAAAGGAGGGAGGGAAGGGGGGTTGTTTCGATAGATCTGCACACATTTTTGCGTCTTGTTATGGACTGTATGTTGATTAAGAAAACATGAAGAAGCAGTTAGGAAAAATAGTGTTGTGATTAATGAAACTAATCTCAAGTCCCAAATGTGATTCAAATTTGAGAGCTTCTGTTGTTTCAGGTATCAGAAGAAGTGCGATGAACTGGAGGTGGCCAATGCTCAGTTTCACGACAAGTATGATCAGATGGCCACAGACAAGAGGGAGATTGTTGCCTTCTGGAAGAAGCAAGTGGAACAAAAAAGTAATGTCTGCCTACTTTGTTATTAGAGGGTTTTTGCTTTTTTATATTTTTATGCTTTCACTTCTATTTTTATTGCTTTATGTCAAAGAAATTCTCAGCTAGTCTTTTAGAAGATGAAATCAAAATCTGAGTTAACTGTTGTGGATATTTCTGAACCTTCCTTTTCATGTTGACATAATTTTTCTATTGAAAAACTGCTCAGCTAGAGAGTGCTGTCAATTATACCTACATTTTCATTTTGAAATGTAATGGTAGTATTATCCTCACGTCATGTTAAAAAAATGTCGTTGGCCAGCTGTTCAAATGCTGTCCAACATTTTCAAAGTTTTTTAAATTGCTGTTTCTAAATCTGTGGTATTGGTTGCATGAGTTCAAGAAAGTTTTTGTCAACATTCAAATTCTAAATGTTTATTTTTAAAAAAGAAAAGATTCAGTAGGTCTACTGTTAAAAGAATTAAACAGTTTTTTCTCTCTCCTGAAAAATGTTGCCTTTTGGCCATAGGACATTTTAACTCTATACAATGTGAAGTGCGAGGTAATCTGTTTTGATCTAAAAGCTTTCTGTTTTTAACTTTTTTATTTTTTCCAGCTTGTTTATTCATGTTCCTCAAGTCAGTAAACCCTTTCTTAACTTGAAAAGACGGGGGATATAAATATTTATGAGACATATGAGATTGGGGGATATTATAGTCTCTTAAATTTCTTTATAATTTCTTATTAGGTTTTATCATGAAACATGGGCTTGTGGCCATAAACTATGGCATCTGAATAATGTAGGCTACCTTTCCATATCAGCTCATTAATTTGACTCTTCTTTTTCTTCTTCTACACAGCGGATGAGATTGCTGACCTGAACGACCGACACATTGGCTTGCAACAAATGCGGGATAATGAGAGAGAAGACTTCAAGAGACAGCTCCAGGAGCAGCGGTCAGAGTACCAGGACATGAAGGATCATCTGACCTCGGACAATATGATACTTGGTCAGTGGATACTCCATCTCCCATTTTTTGTCACAACAGTCAGTCAGTCAGTGAATTCTTCACCTCACATTTGTCATTAGAATCAGTCAATGAATTCTTCACCTCACATTTGTCATTAGAATCAATCAGTGAATTTTCCATCTCACATTTGTCAGTTAGTGAATTCTCTACCTCGCATTCATCATAACAGTCGGTGAATTTTCATCTCACATCTGTTGTATGTCAGTCAGTGAATTCTTCATCTCACATTTGTCGTAACAGTCAGTGAATTCTCCAGTTCACTCTTGGCAGGGAGAATTTGGGACAATTTTGCCTGCCCATGCTGTTAAGGACTTTTGTACCTTTTGTAAATGTTTTACACCACTCTCAACACAATTTTGATCTCCCAGAAGGAAGGCTACTTCACCCTGTCTGTTAAGGCCAATCTGAGCTAAATAAGCTACATTTTCCCAAAAGACAGACAGAAATATTCCTTAAAATAACTTTACCTCTACCAAAAAAGTTGATGGAAAAGGAAGTAAAGCTGAGCTCAGACCAATTTATTCAAGAAGCTACGGGAAATAATAATAATAATGATAATTGCATTTAGATAGTGGATATCCATGCTCTACAGCATGCTCTATGCGCTTTACAAGTATTTTTTCTCCAGCAGACCATTGAGAACACTCAGAAACATTCTCGGATTTCGGGGAAGCATACAGTGCAAGCTGCAGATTTCACTCACCCAAAACTCTATCAAACTGACAAGATCGCTTACTGTCAATATCTGGGTACCCATTTCCACCTGGGTAAAGTGAAGAAAATTCATGCAAAGTGCCTTTCCCAAAAACACAACGTCGGGCCCCTGATGGGATTTGAACCCACAACCTTACGGTTGCAAGTCCGAGAGCCTTACCACTAGGCCACCGACGCCACGAAATGGTTTGGATACTTTAACATTACTGACTATGAATGTAAACGGGGCTGAGAAGAGAGCCATGATCACAGATGTCTGTTTCAGAGTCTATTTGAGGTCATTTGTGAGCATTTTGATGCCTGCCATGCTGTAAACAAAATCGCAAATGAGGGTCATTGTGGTGGAATCAGATGCTCGTCAGGATTTCAGGATTTTTCCAACTTGCAATTTTTAACAATTTTTTATTTAACACAAAATTCTTCTTCAGCCATTAAAGAAAATATAATGGCATGAATTATACTGATAAGATGTTGTTTAAGGCCAAAACTATGTTATTTTGTTGAGTGAATATGTGTATTCAGCTTTAGAAGTCACCAAACTTTGGCAGTCATTTTCTCACTAATTTCACTTGTAACATCATGTAGCTCCTGCCATCTTTAATTGCACATATCTTGACTTCTGTGCAAGACAGATCAATATGTTTTTCATCAAAAGCAAGGCCAATGGACAGGCTTTAAGATCATACCAATAACTCCATAAGCCCAAAAATTGACGAATACCTGATTCCATCATGCTGGGACACAAATGTGTCATGACACGGTAGAATCAGGCGCTCGTCAATTTTGGGGCATATGGAGTTATTGGTATGATCTTGAAGCCTGTCCATTTGCCTTGCCTATGATGGAAGTAATATCCATTTATCTTGAATGCAAGTCAAGATATTGGTCATTGAAAGAGATGGGGTTCGCCTGGTTTCTGAGGTAAATTTAGCAAGAAAATGGCCGCCAAAGTTGAGTCATTTCCATAGCTGGAGAGTCCGTAGAAACTGAAAACTTACATCTTTTATGCCTTTAATCAATGTTTTTCAGTAAAATACATACAGAAATGTATTCTTTTATGGCCATGAAAGGTGTTGAGTCAAAAAACAAAAATTCAATAAGAATTCCCAAACCTATGGGAAAATGCCAGTTTCTTGACTTTCATCATTTTGACGAGCACCTGATTTCATCACGCTGCCTCACAAATGTGATTGTCTCAGTAATGAAATGGACTTAATTTGTGTTTTTTGTTTAGGTGGTAAGTTGGCAGCTCTTGAGGAGTTCAAAGTTCAGAAAGAAGACCTGATGGCTAAGTTCGCCATGATGGAGGAGGAACTGGCAAAGAAAGACGCTGACCACAAAGAACATTTGTACACGCTGGAGAAAAAGGCGGTCATGGATAAAGACAGGTGGGTCACACACTGAAATAGTGGTGTACAGCTAGTAATAGGGCAGGAATTTCTTTTTTGGTTTTATTTGTGTATGTGTGTGTGTGTGTGTGTGTTTGTGTTTGTGGGGTGGGGGGTTGTATGTTTATATGTACGCACATGCACACACCCACGCGCACACACACACACACACACACACACACACACACACACACACACACACACACACACACACTACATACACCACACACACACACACACACACTACATACACCACACACACACACGCACACACACACACACACACACACACACACACACACATACATATATTTTTATAATATATATTGTCTTAAGATGTCCACCCATTGTCCAGAAGAAAAGTGTCCGTCTTAGACAGGTGGATGTCTTACACAGTGTCATTATAATGGGTTTTTTTTTTTATGCAAGGAGAGAAATGGGAAGTGGCCATCTGTAAAGGTGATTATCTTGTACAAGTGGCCATTAGAAGAGGTTCAACGTTTTACACACATATAATATATATATATCTACATACATATCTACATCCAATGATGTGTGAGTGTCCAATGAACTGAGCACACTACCACTTGGTACACCTTCCATGTTATTCTCTGTCCCTTTCCTATACATCCTATTATTATTTGAACATATTAAACTGTTATTCAAACATAACCGACTGTTATTTTAATATAACCTACCTTTATTCTCTGTGCACTTGCTATATGTCTTACTATTACTTGAATATATTTTATTGTTACAATTCAAATAGCCGACTGTTATTCTAAAATACGCTACCTTTATTCTCTGTGAGCTCAGGCTGAAAAAGGAGATGATCCTGCGTGTGAATCAGGTGGCTGCCGAGTTCCGCAAAGTGAGCAACAAGCAGATGGCGGAGACGACAAAGCGAACGATCCGCGAGAACGTATCCATCAATGCTCAGCTCGCCAAGATGTCGGACAAAACCATTGAACTGATCCAGGAGAACGACGAGCTCAAGGAGAAAGAAAAGAAGATGAAGCAACAGATGGACATGCTGGAGACCAATGAGAAGGAACTGGCCAAAAAGAACCACAGCAACATGAAGGTATGCTCTAAATATAGATTGTCTTATGGTCACGGCAACACGAAGGTAAGGTCCTAAAATAGATTGCCTTACAGTCACAGCAACATGAAGGCATGGTTTAACACTTTGCAGTCATTTGGCACAATAATGCAACGGTGAGAACTATCTGTCCCAGTCACCTGAAGCCCGAGAAGTCAGCTGCGGTCACTCTCTTGGCTGGGTGACCAGATGGGATGTTATGTACAGCTGGCTGTGTGACTGCAAAGTGTTAAAAAAAATAGAATATCTTGCAGTCACAGCAAGATGAAGGTGTGGTTTAAAAATAGATTGTTTTACAGTCACAGCAGCATGAAGATATGATTTTTTTCTAGTAATTTATATTCATAACTACAAGGAGGTAAACTCCAAATATGGAATGTCTTACAGTCACCGCAACGTAAAGGTAGCCTTACAATAGAATGTCTTACAGTCATGGCAGCATGAAGGTTAACTCTAAAAATAAATTGCCTTACAGTCACAGCAGCATAAGATTATGATTTAAAAAAATTTTCAGTAAGCTATTATAAACACAACTATAAGGAGGTAAACTCTTAAAATAAAATGTCTTACAGTCACTGCAAAATGAAGGTGAACTCTAAAAATTGAATGCCTGAACAGCTTTATGAGACAGAGAGATGGGAAAATGATGAACTTTGGTAAACGCCTTTTTAATGTTTCTGATGCTTTGAGGCAACATTTTTGTACATTCGGGCCATGTTGCGTCTTTTGTTTTTGTATCATAAGAGTTTTACAGCACTTGCGACATGGTAAGGTCATAGAAGCGTTGAAGATTAGAGGTGTTACAAGAGAGTGACAGACATGAAAAAAGAGGGAGGGGAGATAAGGATAATAGATGTTTGATAGGAAAGAAGGAAGAGCAAACCACACCAGAGCACGTGCCAACTGCTCACCATGTTGTGTCTGTCTGTGCAGGTGATACGGATGATGACAGAGAAATGCCGTAACCAGGAGGCCATGATCACGGAGTTTGAGATGAGGGAGCAGGAGTATCAGGAGCTGGAGGCAGAAGCAGACATTCTGAGACAACAGGTGTCTTCTACCAGGTGAGTAGACAGGTAGACAGACATTCTATTCTAAGGCAACAGGTGTCTTCTACCAGGTGAGTAGATAGACATTTTGAGACAATACGAGTAGACAGACAATCTGAGACAACAGGTGTCTTCTACCAGGTGAATAGGCAGACATTTTGAGACAATACGAGCAGACAGACATTCTGAGACAACAGGTGTCTTCTTCCAGGTGAACAAGCAGACATTTTGAGACAATAGGTGACTTTTACCACAGGTGACTTTTACCATGGGGGTAGACAGACATTTTGAGACAACTGATGTCTTCTATCACGTGAGTAGATAGGTAGACAGACATTCTGAGACAACAGCTGGCTTCTATCAGGTGAGTAGGCAGACATTTTGAGACAATAGGTGTCTTCTATCCCGTGAGTAGCAGAATCATAAACAACATCAGGTGACTTCTACCACGTAAGTAGACAGATATTCTTAGACAACTGGTGACTTCTACTGTGTGAGTAGACAGATTCTGAGACAACAGGTGATTTATACTGTGTGAGTAGTGAGTAAACAAACATTCTGAGACAATAGGTGTCTTCTACTGGGTGAGTAGACAGACTTTCTGAGACAATAGGTATCTTCTACCATTTGAGCAGACAGACATTCAGTGACAGTTGGGTACTTCTACCAGGTAAGTCCCTCCACCCCCTGCCCCAGATAAGATGACTGTTCTGATCCTCCTCCTCCTCCTCCTCTTCTTCCTCAGGGGATATGTTACTGTATATGGTATGCTGGGTTTGGAAAATCGAACATTCTCTGATCCATACTCATCAATATGTTCATGTTGTTCTTTAGTTTTATTTTGTTCATATGGCGGTAAAATTTTCTACCAGTTGCCCACATGTATCTCATCACTTTGTTTGTAGAGAGGAGATCCAGCAAATGGCCAGGGATAATGAACTCCTGGAGGAAAAGTCACAGAGCTTGGGACATGCCTACGAGAAGGAGGTTGCGGCCAGGGGCAAAGTGGAGGAAATCTTCAAACAGGCCTCAGACTCCCTGCAGAGTGTTTTGACGGTCAGTTTAGTAGATCAGTGTTACGATGGTCAGTTTAATAGGCCAGAGATATGATAATTATCTGTTTAATAGACCAGTGTTTGATTATCAGTTTAGTAGGCCAGTGTTTGATATCAGTCTAATAGACCAGTGTTATGATGATCAGTTTAATAGACCAGTGTTATGATGATCAGTTTAATAGTCCAGTGTTATGATGATCAGTTTAATAGACCAGTGTTATGTAGTGTCTGGGAGCGGCATGCAGGAGGTAAAGAGTTAATTGTCTGTATATCTCTAAACATTAGTCTACCTCTGATCCTCACTCTGTTTCTCATCTTCGACTGCTAGAGCTCAGCACCAGACGATGAGGACCTAGATGAGGAGAGGAAGATAGGTGAGCTGCAGAAGAGAGAACACATGCTGGAAAATCTTCTCGTCATCCTCAACTCCGCGGCTGCACTCGGCCTGGCTCCCAAGCCTGGCGAGATGGGCAAACAGTGGCCTCAGCAGATGGAGGTGCATGGATCTATTCCTGCCTCCAGAAAGGGACTACTTTCAGGGTAAGGGCACTACTTTTTCTTCACAACAGCGCTTTAAGCCTGACTTTACCTTACCCAAAGACTAAGTATCTCAAGTTTAGATTGGATTTTCAAGAGTTGTAAGACTTAAACTGGTTTCTTCCTGAGCACCTCGTCGTTTGGAGACATACAACTTGCATTTTACTTCACTACACAATGTAAATCATTCAAGATGGAAGCTGCTTTCACCTGGCTGGTGAGTCGGATACAATGTTTCAGAAGCCAGATGGAATGGGATCCATCCCAGCAGACAGATGGAGATACTTGATAAAATATCCCGTTTCTCACTGATTGGTCTCTGTGGTGTGATTATTAGGCATTCCTCCATTGGACGGGGAAAACGTATTTCCATCTGTCTGCTCTGATTAGGTACCAGAAACTAAATTTTCAAAGTAGCTGTATGCCAAATTTATCTGTTCCGTTTGAAAGGCCTATATCCACTGAGCATTTTGGTACCATTCTTTAACCTCTCAGTCAATTTTTAAGAAAATGGTATATGTTTAAAATTTCATCAAATTTGTTAAAGTCAGTCACTGGCTGCAACCCCGTGTTTGACAGACAATAAAAGAGTACCAAGTGCACTAAACATCTCCACATTAACAGAGTACAATCACTATAACAAATATATGGAGCTTAATTTTTTTTCAAGACTGTGAGATCATTACAAATCAGTATTTTATCACTTCAAACACGATGATCTGTCGTTATTTCGACGAAAACACCGAGCATTGACCCGGCTGGCGCCGCACCAGCTCCCGCTGCGAGCGAGTCGGCTTATACTGTAGTGTACCCCGCGTGCAGGGTCATATGCTTTCCGAGTCTCGCAGAAGGATTGATGTAAAATAATTCCAAGCTGATTACTTTATTCTAATAGAAAATAAACTGATCTTTTCATTAAAACCTTTTTTAAGCCGGTATTTTACATATTTTGTGTAAAAAGTGATCTTTAAACATTTTGACAGCATTTTTAAAAGCTTTCTATTTAAACAACAAGGGCCAAATATATACCACGGGAAAGCCCGTATAGAGCTCTACATGAAAAGACGGTGTTTAATCATCGCTCGTTCCGTGAAGCATTTGAATGCACGCGTGTCAATTTTTGAACCAGGCATCAAAACATTCCGACTGCGAGGGGCTTCGCTTTCGTCAGCGATTCTCCAGCTCCTAATAATCGGACATATAAACAACTTACACAATTGTGACGAGGAAAAGCTGAACTTTTACAAGGTGTACGCCATTTGGTGTTTTATAGCGAAAGAGCAAAGAAACAGTGATCGGAATTACCCTGATTTCACCGATACCACGCGGTCAGAAGGCCGCGAGTGCCCGCAAGGCCGTGTTTATGCTACCTACTCTGATATATTATATCCCCTCAACCCGGGTTGGCCTTGCAGAATGGAAGCAACCGCGCCATCTTCTATGTGATCTAAATTATATTGAGAGAGATGTAAAATGTAAAGCACTGACAGCAACTCTTGTCTCTCACTGGTCACAGAGACGTGCCACGCTCACCCATGTTCCAAGGGGCTGGATCTTTGCCTCACTACAGTCTGGGTGACCTTGGCCTCATCCCAAGGCCACTGCAGAACATCACAACCTCTGTGGACAAGATGAAGGTCATCAGCAAGAATACCAAACTAGGCGCACTGCGTGGTGTGTTGCAGAAGTCAGTGTCCACTCAGACCGTCAGTGCACCCAAGGTCAGTCATGGTCACAGGATTTCCCACAATAAGTGTTTAATTCTAGTTTCTACTCTATTTCTACATAAGGTACTTCAGTCTTTGAATCTCTTCAAACCACTTTAGAAACACTCCTTTCCCTCCCTGCTTGCCCCTGCTAAACCCCTTGTTCCCTCCTTCCCCCTTTTGCTCTCAAGACTGAAATTTGAAAGGAAAATCTTTCCAGGAAGGACAAGAGAAGTTTGGAACCCCCATCCCGACTATTACTAGTAGATTTGACTAGGATGATCTACATCCAGTTTATTTCATTTTTCTATTTCATTTTCTACATCCATACTGTTTCATTTTCTATTTCATGATCTATATCCAGTTTATTTAATTTCTTTTTCATTTTCTACACATAAGCTATTTCAATTTCTACTTCCAATCATTTTCTATTTAGTTCTCTACATCCAATCTTCTTCATTTTCTATATCCAATCTATTTCATGTTCTATATCAATCACTGCTTCTAAGCTATTTCATTTTCTATTTAATTTTTCTACATACAATCTATTTCATTTTCTACATCTTAGCTATTTTATGTTCTGTTTCATGTGTTCTACATCCAACCCATTTCATTTTCTAAATGAAATCTGGTCCATTTTCTGTGTCATTTTGTGCACCACAGCTATTTTTTATTCTACACGACCCAGGCTATTTCACTTTCTGCATCCAAGCTATTTCATTTTCTACATTTAAGCTGTTTCATATTCTATTTCGTTCTCTTTGTCTAATCTATTTCATTTTCTACATCTAAGCTGTTTCATATCCTATTTGGTTCTCCTTGTTTAAGCTATTTAATTTTCTACATCTAAACTGTGTCAGTTTCTGTTTCCTTTTCTACATCCAAGCTATGTCCAGATTATTACATTTTCTACATTACAGTTACAGTTACAGATTCTGCCTGTAGATGCTGAGCCAGCCTTTACGTTTTTTTCCTACATTTTCACTTTTTTTTTCTTCGACTTTTCCAGGCACTGTTTTATGCTGACCAGCTTGTGGGCAAAATGCCCGATCAGACCCATCAGGCCGTTCTCCGAGAGTTGCAGACCAGAGAATTGAGATGTCCCCCAGCCGGCAACGCCCCACCCCCCGCGGCCAAAAAACTGGTCACAGGAGTCAATTAACCACTACTAACACACAGCAGAAACACGCCCAGTTCTGGACTCTCCTGTATATAGATTGTCTGGGCCTAAATCATGCTGCTGTTGTTATTACCATTGTTTTGTACAAAGATTTTCTTTGCCCATATCATGTTGTGGTTGTGGTTGTTGTTGTTTTTGTTGTTGCTGTGCAGCTGTGGGGTCACAGAGCACAAAATGTGAGGGGAAAATCTTCCTATTATGTTCATCACTAGATAGTCTGTGTGGGCAGCTATTGCACTGTGCCTATTGTGTGTCATGTCAGTGCGGAGAGCTATTGTACTGTACCTATTATGAGTCGCATCAGTGTGGAGAACAATTGTCCTGTACCTATTGTGTGTGTCACATCATTGTGGGGAACTATTGTTATACTGTACCTATTTTTTGTCACATTGTGTTCCATCACTGAGGGAAGCTACTGTACCATACCTATTGTGTGTCTCACAAATGTAGGGAACTATTGTACTGTTCCTATTGTGTGTCTCATCAGTGTGGAGAACAATTGTCTGTACGTATTGTGTGTTCCATCACTGTGGGGAACTGTTGTACCAGTACTGTACCCATAATGTGTCTCACAAATGTAGGGAACAATTGTTCTGTTCCAATTGTGTGTCTCACACTCACAAATGTAGGGAACATATATTCTGTTCTTCTCTGTGTATCACATCACTGTCGGAACCTATTGTACGGTAGGTGTTGTGAATCATACCACAGAGGAAAGCTATTGTACTGTCCTATTGTGTGTCCCATCACTGTGGGGAACAATTGAAGGGGTGAGATGCAAAACCCGCTAAGTGACAGTTCGGAAAAAATAGAGAATTTTTTGCTTATAAATGAACATTGTTACCAGCTATCAGATGCACAAAGTGTTTTCGGCCAAAACCGAACACATACTTTATAAAACGCACCAAAATATCTTTTTACACATGTTCATGTGTATAGCAGCATTTAAAAAAGCTGATTTTCTCAAAGTGCTAACATTGATGTAGCGAGTTTTGCATCTCAGCACCTCAATTGTACTGTACGTATTGTGTGTCTCATCACTGTAGGGAGCTATTGCACAGTGCCTATTGTGTGTCTCATCACTGTAGGGAGCTATTACACAGTGCCTATTGTGAATCATACCACAAAGGAGAGCTATTGTTTCTTACATATTATGTGTCACATTGTGTCTCATCACTGAAGGAAGCTATTCTTATTGTGAATCATATCACAGAGAAGAGGTATTGTACTGTACCTCTACTGTGTGTCACATCAGCGAGTCCACTAGATTTTTTTGCCATTTTTATCTTTGTCCGTATCTATGATGGGAGTGAATGTTTCATTCTATGATTCTATGGGGGGAAGCACGCCTGAAATACTAAAATTTCTTAACTGAAAGTTTTCATTGGGCCCAGGCTTTTTATCAATCAGTGAGGAAGCCATTTTATCAAGTATCTCATTTTTTCTAGTGGGATGCTGTTTTTCATTCAGCCCAGGTTGGCTTCAACAAACAGGGCCAAAGCAGTCTTCCTCCTAAATGTTCTAAATAGTGTCAACTAGGGTGTAAAAGATGTACAACCATTACAAAGTGTAAAAAAAAACCACCATATCAATTTTTGTGACCAATCTGGACGGAGACTCAAAGTCTCTGGGCCTGTGTGAGGCCACTGTGAAGTGCAGAATTCCGAAGAAGAAAATAAAAGCTTTGATGAAAAAAAAGAGCACTGTCATCTTTGTGTTTAGTTTTTAACAAGCCAAAATATCCTCAGCCGAATGTTACAAGTAAACTAAAAAAGAAACATGTCGACATGATAATGGCCACTTTGTGCTCGGAAAAAGTAAGATTAAAAAGAAACATCAGAGGGGGAAAAAAAGCAGGACCTTCCACTTACAAGTACACACTGAAACCATCCCCTTCTGCTGAAGGCAGAAAACAAACAGAGGAAAGCAGCAGTCACTTGACATTTCTTCCTGCTGTTGTGATCATGAAAAAAAAGAAAATAGGAGACAATAATAACAGTTTACCCTATAAATCGGTAACTGAGTTGGGACCTGCAAATTTGACCTCATCTGCGACAGAACAGACCCAAGGAGATGAAGAACTCCGAAAGGTCCACAGACAATCCATGTTCATGAATATTAGGGGTTTGAGCCAAAAGTGTAGCTACTTCTACAAGAGTATATATATCAAATATTGTAACAGCTACTGCAATATCATACTGTCCCTGTGGTTTTATGCACCCCGCATAATATGGCAAAATTTGATTTTTTTTTTTTCATAATTTCTGATTATTTTCCTTTATCATTCTTTGTTAATATTAAAAGAATCGCATAATTTCACATTTTTGGGCTCAGTTTGCATAATTTCAAAATTTTTCTTGCATAAAACGACAGGGACAGATCACAGAGCCAATATTGTATTAGTTGCTACTGCAGAATCCTGTACTGTAGCCAGTGGGTAGCTGTAACTACAGTTTCGTGTTGCCATCAGTGCAGCTACTATAATAAAATCATGTAGCCAGTAGTTCAGCTGCTACCACAGGATGATGTAGCCAATATTGCAACTGCTACTACAGAATGATGCAACCAATATTACAACTGCTACTACAGAATGATACAGCCAACATTACAACTGCTACTACATGATGATGTAGCCAATATTGCAACTGCTACTACAGGATGGTGTAACCAGTATTGCAACTGCTGCTGCAGACTCGTACAACCAGTAACCAGTAGTGTAGCTGCTACTACAGAACCACATTGTCAAAACATGAAGTTCTGTCAAGTTGGGCCATGAAGAAATGTGGCTGAAGCAAGCAGAGTGTAACTGGCATTTGTGGTGTAGTGGTTAGGTATCTTATCTTTGCACGCAGGAGACCCAAGTTCGATTCCAGAGTGAAATGAATTCGTATAGAGTATCTTGGTCTTTCTGCCGGGATGTTGAATCCCTCTCACTCTCAGCCCAGGTTGGCATAGACAGGCTGGGTCAAAGCCCGCCTCCTGTATGATGTAAACTGTGTTGTTGGGGCAAAAACACCTGCTAAAAAAAGATAAATTTTTTTTAAGCAGAATGTTGCATAGATTTTTTTAAACCCGTCTTTCTGACTATTTGTGGTGGCCGAATTTTGCTATTCAAAAGGCCTTTTAATGGCTGCATCGATCGACATGCGGTTTTCGCCAAAAGATTCTTTAAAATATTCTCCAGATCATGACGCCCTACGTTTTTTCAGTTTTGAGACAGTTTTGCATGCTGCAAAAAGCTAAATTTCTTTATTTCGCCGATCGCTTCTGTAGGCCGACACTTCTGTCTCTGTAATTTTAGAAATCCGGAAGTGATATTTCGCGAGCCGCATTTTGTTCTGAGAGTATAGATCTAGACCTTATAATTTTTTGCATCTCTCAAGAGGTATTGCCCCTTTCCAGTAGAGAGTAAAATATAGTAGGCCAGTGACTTTTAGTTGATATTAAAGCACAGATCATTCTTTTCATCGAAAGGGGGCCAAGCTAGTAAATTCTATATACCAAGCTCCATTAATTAATTAATTAAAACTTGTTTATTTTTAGTAATTACTTCATGGCACTTAGAACACAATTAGGTCATATAAGTGCCAGAGATTAGAGGTCCTTTTTTAAAGTTTTAGTAAGAGTTTTTCGGCACTTGCAACACAGCAAGGTCATATAAGTGCCGAAGATTAGAAGTGTTACAAGAGAGTAACAAACAAACAAAAAAAGAAGGAGAGATCAGGACGATACATGTTTGATAGGAAAGAAGGAGCAAACCACACTAGAGCACCCACCAACCACTCGCAATTAAGACTTAAAACAGAGAACAAAAATACAAAGTTGTTGTCCATGTACAATAACTAGATCAGAGTATTCATAGACAGGAAATCATCGGAAAGAAATTAATAAATGCATACCATTAAAATTTTATTGAACTCCGATAATTATGTCGAAGTCATGAAAGCGCACCAGTACATTGAACTTTTAACTACACAGGCACACAGACACACCCACATTCACAAACATGATACTGATACATACTTATTCATACAAAACAATGTTTAAAAAACCGATTTACACATACACACTCACACACACATACAAATATTCACACATATACACACATTTACACACACACTCACACACATACATAGTATGTATGCGTGTGAGTGTGTGTGTATATGTGTGAACATAGTATGTACATACAAAATAATGCTAGTAAAATTGACTGACACATGAACATATTGCACTTAATTTGGCTTTCAGTGATGTAAGAGTATTTCTAAAGGCAAAAATTCCTTCTGTATTCCCCCCCCTTCCCCCCCCCCAAACACACACACACTCTTCACTGTGCCAGACACCTCACATAACACACCAGATGACACATCAGTGACACAACAGACAACACATGTGACACAAGACCTCCTGTACCCCCCCATGTCTGACACAACACATAACACAACACGAACACATGATACATCCCCTGACACAATGGGATGACACAACATCTCAAGTACCCGAGCCCAACATATCATCTAACACAACAGATGAAATATCACATGACAAAACATCTCAAGTATCCCCCCCCCCTCCCCACTGACCTAACAGACACATCACGCAACACAACAACACATCACAACATGGTACATCTCCTGAGCCCCCCCCCCCCCCAGGTGCACGCCACATCACGTAACACAAAAGATGACGCATCACTTGACATAGCAGGGGATAAAGCGTGTTTCCAGTACACAAAATGACACATCACATGACATAACAGATGAGACATTAAACAAAACAACACATCCTGTACACACATCCCAACACAACAGCCCCCCCTCATGCCCCGACACATCAAATAGCACACACAACAGATGACACATCACATGACACAACAGATAACACATCACATGACAAAAACAGATGACACAACAGATGACACAACAGATGACACATCATATGACACATCATATGACACATCACATGACACAACAGATGACACGTCACATGACATAACAGATAACACATCACATGACAAAAACAGATGACACAACAGATGACACATCATATGACACATCACATGACACAACAGATGACACGTCACATGACATAACAGATAACACATCACATGACAAAAACAGATGACACAACAGATGAC